TCAACGTCATCATCATCAACAACAACACCACCATCTCCATCGTCATCGGGACACTGTCATCTTCACATCATCATCGTCGCCATCATCATCAACGCCATCATCATCAGGCCATCATCATCAACGCCATCATCATCTCATCATAGTCATCATCATCATCATCATCATCATCATCATCATCATCATCATCATCATCATCATCGGGACACCGCCATCGTCATCATCACCATCAACATCATCATCATCGGGACACCATCATTGGTCACCATCATGTTCATCGTCAACATCATCAACAACAACATCGGGAAACCATCATCATCATCATCAGCGCATTATCATCATCAACATCATCAGCAGCATCATCATCACCAACATCATCATCAATATCATCATCGGCACACTATCACCATCACCATCATCATCACCCCCGTCATAATCATCATCATCATCGGGAGACCATAATCATCATCAGCAGCACCATCATTACCAACATCATCATCAACAACAACGGGCAGAAACATCATCATCATCATCATTGTCATCTCATCATCATCATCATCATCAACATCAACATAATCATCATCACCAGGACACCATCATCGTCATCATCATCACCATCAACATAACCATCATGATCATCATCAACAACATCATTATCGGGACACCGACGGGACACCGACGGGACACCGGCGGGACACCGCGGGCCCCCTGCCGCCCGGAAGGGAGTCATTTGGTCCGGCCGCGCCTCAGCCACACGAGACACCAGCGGGACACCGGCGGGACACCGCGGGCCCCCGGCCGCCCGGAAGGGAGTCATTTGGTCCGGCCGCGCCTCAGCCACAGGAGACTTTCTCTCGCCCGCCCACGCAGCTTCGCCTCGCCCGCACGGAACGCACGAACACGAAACCGAAATCGATTTCCCGGTAGGGGGGCTCTCCGTTCCACTTCGATCTCACCCCCTCACCTCCGATATATGGAGATGTCCCGCTCTCTCTCTCTTTTTCTCTCTCTCATTCCCTCGCTCCCATGACTGGCTCACCCATCCCTCCCATGATTTTTTTTCCCACCCGCCAATCCTTCATCGCAGCTGGGCGGCCAGCGGCCAACACATCGAGGCGCCACGTCGGCCCACCAACGCGGCAGTGTCGACATGGATTTCGTTAAGTAGATTGTGCGATCCTGCTTCGCAATCCTGCTGTGACTGTGCTGGACAGAGACATGTATGGAGCGTGCTGGTATACATATATATATATATGTGTGTATACACACATGTGTGATTCCCTACCTAGGCTCTGTCTAGAAGGGTTCTTACTCTCTAGCTTAAAGGGGCCGGGCAGTGCTACACGCCCCGGGCGGTTCCCCCAGTCCCCGCCCCGCGGTTCCCCCAGTCGCGCCCCCTGGGTTCACCCAGCTTAGCTTAGCTTCAGCTTAGCTTTAGCTTAGCTCTAGCTTAGTTTTAGCTTAGCTTTAGCTTAGCTTTAGCTTAGCTTTAACTTAGCTTCAGCTTAGCTTTAACTTAGCTTTAGCTTAGCTTCAGCTTAGCTTCAGCTTAGCTTCAGCTTAGCTCTAGCTTAGCTCTAGCTTAGCTTCAGCTTGGCTTCAGCTTAGCTTCAGCTTAGCTCTAGCATAGCTTCAGCTTAGCTCTAGCTTAGCTTCAGCTTAGCTTTAGCTTAGCTTTAGCTTAGCTCTAGCTTAGCTCTAGCTTAGCTTCAGCTTAGCTCTAGCTTAGCTTTAGCTTGGCTCTAACTTAGCTTTAGCTTAGCTTTAGCTTTGCTTTAGCTTAGCTTTAGCTTAGCTTTAGCTTAGCTTCAGCTTAGCTTCAGCTTAGCTTTAGCTTAGCTCTAGCTTAGCGTCAGCTTAGCTTCAGCTTAGCTTTAGCTTAGCTCTAGCTTAGCTTCAGCTTAGCTTTAGCTTAGCTTCAGCTTAGTTTCAGCTTAGCTTTAGCTTAGCTTCAGCTTAGCTTTGGCTTAGCTTTAGCTTAGCTCTAGCTTAGCGTTAGCTTAGTTTTAGCTTAGTTTTAGCTTAGCTTTAGCTTAGCTTTATCTTAGCTTTAGCTTAGTCTTAGCTTAGCTTTAGCTTAGCTTTAACTTAGCTTTAGCTTAGCTTTAGCTTAGCTTCATCTGCTTTAGCTTAGCTTTTCTGTTACTACTAATGCTGCTTTCCTAGGGGCTCCAACTCCTAGGTAGGGTCGCACTGGGATAAGTATACATATATGTATGCATGTATGTATGCATATATAAGGCAGGTATGTATGTATAGATGTGTAGGTGTACACACATATACATACATATTTACATACACAAATACATATACATATACATGTACATGTATACCTGCACGTACCTATACATTTACATATCCACATACTTACATACACGTATACACACATGTGCACATACACATGTACACATACAAATATGCATGTACACATCATAGACATTTACACATGCATATATGTACATGCACAGATTCATCGACATATACATATACATATGCACACAACGATACGTATGCACATTTACATATACATATGCACGTACAGCTATACATACCTATACATATGCAGATACACCTACACATACACATCCACATACATATTTGTATATATATACACATACATATACATATGTACATCCCACATCGTGGAATTATGCATCCAGGAATCGCCGGAACATGTTTGGCAGGTTGCGCACAACATCTTGTACACTGTCATCACCCTCACCCGCATATTACAGAAGGCTGGAGTAGCTACACCCACTCACATAGTCACCAGGATTTCCCAAGTCTGATTTGGCAGGTGGTTGCCAAGACATGCGGCGGACGCATACTAACAACCATTTCAGGTGCAATCGGAAGGGACGTTGTACCACTGCAAGTAATATGAGGCTTCCCAATCTTCACCAGCACCAGCTTAAATGGGTGGGAGAGTCGAAATGCCCCAACCGGCACGTAAAGGATTATGCCTACCCGTAAGGGAATCAGCGCTACACTACACTTCTCCTCATCATCATTAGCATCATGATTCTCCGCATCACCATCCACCCCCTTATCATCATCCCACGCGTTCAGAATGAGAGGCGCGAGGACCCAGGTGAGTGAGGGTTGAGTGCAGTAGATTGAAAGGTCTGGCTCCCTAAACAGCTGGCTGTTATCCCGTGCCCCGCGTGGGCTGCCCCGCCGTCTTCGCCCTCTCTCGCCCCCCCCGCTGGTCCTCCGGCTGTTTGAGGTCTCTTCGGCGGTCAGGGTATGTGGCGGCGCGCCCTGCAGATCGCACCCGTGCGTGGCCCCGCTCCTTTTCGGCCGCGGCACCGAGTGCGTAGTGAGTCGGCGGCAACACAACAGCTCTCGAAGCGGGGAGAGGGCTCGACTGACCATACCTGAAGCCTCCCTCCCTAAGAGTCCCGATTGTGTGAAGCAGTCATCGTCATCATCACCACCATCATCATCATCATCATCATCATCATCATCATCTTCATCATCTTCATCTTCATCTCCATCTCCATCTCCATCTTCATCTTCATCTTCATCTTCATCTTCATCTTCATCTTCATCTTCATCTTCCTCTTCCTCTTCCTCTTCCTCCTCCTCCTCCTCCTCCTCCTCCTCCCCCTCATCCTCATCATCCTCATCATCATCATCATCATCATCCCGCCGCCTCGTAATCTGCATCATCCTCACTCACTCCTCCGCCGCATCATCATCACTTCACCTCACTAGCCATCTCTTACGGAGGAGGAGTGAGGAGGAGGGTGAGGAGGAGAGAAGAGCAATGCAAAGAGGACATGCGGATGAGCATAGGGAAGATGAGGATGACGATGACGGTCATGAGGGCTCAGAGCCGTCTTCGCGCCCTCGCAGAGCGACGCGCGGCCAGCACAGCGCCAGGCTCCAGAGGTGATCTGGGTCGACCACCAGACTGCACGTGTGCAGCTTGCGCGAGGGGGGGGGTGGGAGGCGAGTGGCCGAGGCTGCGCGCAGGCAGGCCCGGCATGGCACGCGCCCCCCCTTCCCAGTGGCACAGCAGGCTCGCCACCTGCCGCACCCACCCGACGCCGAGGGGCGAGCTATCGGTCGCCAGCGAGTGCCCCCGGCGCCTGCCTCCGCGGCGGCAGCGCCAGGGCGCGAGGAGGAATCGCGCGCGCCGCGCAGCGCGGGGCACGAGGCCGCGAGGCGCGAAGCGCGAATCTAACAACCCCCCCGCAGAAGAATCACACGCGCGTTGTTTTTTTTTGCTCCACTCCCCCCTCAGCCCCCGCCACGAGCACGGAGGAGGCCGCGCTGTCACACCGGCGCGGGGTCGTTCTGGTGGCGTGGGGCTCGGGCGGCAGCGAGGTCCTCACGGGCCGCGTCGACGAGATGCGGCGTGTTCGACGCAGCCGAGAGGATGCGGGAGGCCGCGCTGCCGCACCGGAATTCGGTCGGGTCGGTGGCGTGGAGCCCGGTCGGCAGGGAGATCCTCACGGGTGCCCATGGCGAGAAGCGCCGCGCTGCCGCACGGGGGCAAGGTCGGCGGCGTGGCGTGGAGCCCAGACGGCAGGAAAGTCCTAACAAATTGAGGGGGTCGGGCGGAATAAAAGACTAGCGCGTCTGATTTCGAGGAGGGGCCAAGGGGCCTATGGCCAGACGCATCATATGCCACGGCCCAACGGTCGTTGACAGTAGGTCGTTTTGTAATCCCAGGCTCCAATCTGCTTTGTTCGCCTTCTTTTTTCGAGCGTCGATCAGTTGTCCTTGTTTCCTCCTCTTCATGGGGCCAGCGGAAACCCAATTTGCTTCCAACGTCTTCCTACTTCATATTTTTGGCTACTTCTCCCGACCGATGGGTATCCTTCATCGCCCACCGCTGGGCCTGACGTTGTCGCCCGCGCCGCCGACGCTCTCATCTCCTGCGTCGTCGTCGTCTTCGTCTTCGTCGTCGTCGTCGTCGTTGTGGTGACCGAAGGCCGCTGCGACCGCACCCCAAGCAGCGCCGGGCCCCGCAGGGGCGTCTGCTCGGCGGGGGCATGGCAACCGCCGCGCCGCCGCAGGATGGCCATGAGGGTGGCGGCGCCGGCGCCGAGGACTGCACTGGGCAGGGGCGGGGTCGGGCGTGGCACTGGCAGCGGAGTGGCCCATGCCCGTCCGACCCCCGGCTGGTGTCCCAGATCTCTGGCGATATGGCGATGTCAATCCGGGCGGTTTTCCTCGCTTTCGGCTCTCCGGGGGCCGTCTTCGGGCCGTCGTCGGAGCTGGGGCGAAAGAGTTGCCCCCAGGGAGGCGGTGGAGACTTTCGGGGCGGCAGACTGGAAGGTCAGAGCGGCGGACGTGAGGGTAGGCAGCCGAGGCGCCCCAGGGTTCCCGTCTGAGCCCGTTCGGCGTCGGAGCCCACCCGGCTCCCGAGCGGCCCCACCTTGCACCACCCTGTCGGAATCGAGCCAGAGTTCGGCAGCCCGCTCCGCGGCCGAGTGGGCGCAGGCACCGAGGGAGCTTCTGGGGGAGTCCGAAAGGTTCCAGAATACGATGCGCATGTCTCGGCCTCCATTCTGGATCGGCGTCACCCCAACATACCAATGCTATGTGAGCGTCGCCCCCCCCAGGGGCGACGCGCGCACCGAGAAATCTTCTAGTATATGCGTATTGGCGGGCACTTTCTGGCCACACCGCTCGGGAAACGGTATACTAAGTACAAGATGGATATTCAACATGTTCGGGTCGGACGCGCGCCTCCAAGGAGGACACATAGTATTAGTATGTCGCTGTGCATCCCACTGGAGTCCTCTGTCCTCCTTGCTCCTTGCTCCTGTGTTTCTGATGCGGCTTCTCCTCCAGAGCGCCGAGAAGCTCCAGGAGGCTGCGGAGGATGGCACCTGCGGCTCCAGTGAACTCTGGCACGCAAGCTCCGACCTCCATGCTGGAACCTCTAGCATCCACTCTGGGCGTTTGGGCTCTGCATTTTGAAGTTGACCTTTGCATCTAAACCCCGTAGTTTGGGATACGAGTGAGTAGGCGACCATCAAGAGCTTTACAATGTGGGCGGGTGGTCGCGCAGGCGGAAGCACCCAGCGGTGGTTTCCAAGACCTTGCAACCAATAAGCATACATACATACATACATACATACATGCATGCATGCCTACCTACCTACCTACCTACCTACCTGTCTACATACATACATATACGTACATGCATACATACATACATACATACGTACGTACGTACATACATGCATACATATGAATACATATAATGTTGTATATACATATATTAGAGAGAGCGTGATCCACCGCCGCTTTACTGTGGAAAATTGCCAACCTTTTCCTCCGGAACCCGGGGGTCTCCTCCCCCCCCCCCTCCGAAAATCCCCCCCCCCCTGCCGGAACCCCTCCCCCCCCCCCCCCCTCTCCCCCGGCAAAACCCCCCCCCTCCCCTAACCCCCCACACCCCCCCCCCCCTCCCGCTCGAAAACCGGGGGGGGTCACTACCGGTTCGAACCCCTCCCCCCCCCCCCTCCCCCTCTGGATCCGGAAAACCGGGGGGGGTCACTACCGGTTCGAACCCCCCCCCCCCCCCCTCACCGCCAGCAAACGACTCCCGGTCCCCACCACCGTCCGCATCACATCCCCCACTGGTGTTCCCAGCACCACTGTCCTCACCACCGCTGTCCCCACTGGTTCCACCACCGCCCCTACTGTCCCCACCAGTGGCCCCACCACTGTCGCACTGTCCCCGCTGTCCCCAGAACTGTTCCCACCACGGTTCCACTCTCCCCACTGTCTCCACGGCCCCAACCACTGCCCGACTATCCCCACTGTCCCCACTGTCCCACTGACTCCTCCGCTGTCCCACTGAGCTGTCCCACTGTTCCCACCACTGTCCCCACTGTCCCCACCACTGTCCCCACTGTACCTCTGTCCCATTGTCCCACCGCCGTCCTCGCCACCGCTTTCACCACTGTCCCCACCACCATTGTACCCTCCACTGTCCCACTGTTTCCACCTCGTTCCCATTGTCCCCACACCACTGTCCCCACCACCACCGTCACCACCACTGTCCACTGTCCCCCCCTGTTCCCACCATTGTCCCCACCACTGTCCCCACCACTACCGTCCCCACCGCTGTCCCACTGTCCCACTGTCCCCACTGTCCCCACCACTGTCCCGTCCCACCATCCCCTCACCACTGTCCCCACCACCACTGTCCCCACCACTACCGTCCCCACCACTGTCCCACTGTCCCCCCACTGTCCCCACCACTGTCCCGCTGTCCCCTCACCACTGTCCCCACCAACACCGTCCCCACCACTGTCCGCACCCCCACTCGGTTTTCGAGGGGGGGGGGGTTCGAACCGGTAGTGACCCCCCCCGAGGGGGGGGGGGGGGTTCGAACCGGTAGTGACCCCCCCCCTTTTCATGATGAGCTGGGGGGGAGGGGGGGGGGAGGGGTTCGAACCGGTAGTGACCCCCCCCGGTTTTCCGCCAGCAGCGGTAGAACACGCTCTTTCATATATTAGGTGTACGTATATATATATATATATATATATATGTTTATACATATATAAATATATAAATATATATATATATATATATATATATATATATATATATATATATATATATATATATAAATTCAAGTCTGCATTGGCGCTTCGCGCTATGCACCTTGGTCCCTGAAACCTTGCATCTGTTGGCACCTGGCGCCATCCTCTTTAGCTTTTAAACTTTGGCCGTTTCCCGTCCAGGCCTCTCGCCTGTTCCAGTTTGCTCTAGCCCTCGCTTAACAGACCGCGCGCCACCCGAACTTTTCTTGGAGTGCGCTTTGATTCGAATTTCGAGGCGGGCCCGATCACGTGGAGCGAAAACGCCACCTGGAGGCTCCGAAAGAACGTCGGACCAACATCGCGGGCCTTTTTCGCGCGATCCTGCGCTGGCTGGTGTCGTGACGGCCTGCGCGTCGATGTTTGACACCACTTGGATCGTTCAGCCGTAAACGATCGCGCATTCCCGTTCAATGCCGGCCGAGTCCTGACAACTGGCCGTGTTCGTTCCGAATGCACGCGCCAGGGTCGCCGCCGCGTCGACACAACGCAAATCGACCACTGTAGAGGAACAGTTGTTTGGGGGGGTCGTTTTTTTACCCTGGGATGTGTTTTTGAGGCCTCGGGTTTGCAGCCAGCGGCTCTTGCAGGCCGACGTCGAACCAAAACCTCAGAGGATTGCAAAAGCCTGGGGGCTCCCAGCGGCTCCCACCAGCATCCAACCAACCAAAGTTCGAGCCATCGCAGACCCCGAACAGTGAGGTGTAGAACCCTGGCGGTGAAAGTTATGCTGGTAAGCCTATGTGATGTGATCTATGTTGTGGCAGCAGTGTGGTGTGAGCTACGTGTTGGAAGCTTTTCGGTGTAAATTATGTGGGCGAAACTACGTTGTGTAAATTATGGAATGCGGACGATGTGGTGGTATCTACAGGATGTAAGTTATTCGGTGCAGGACAGGTGGTACGAACAACATGTTGGGAACGGCGTTGCGGAAGTGTGAGGGGAACAAGCCGGCGTGAGCTATATGGTGTGGACCCACAGCGCCCGCGATGCAGCAGGGGCGAGTACGTGACGAAATCCCGGCCGACCCACTCAAGTTCTGAACACCGAAGCGGAGAAACTTGGAGCAAGCACCGTCTCGGGAACCTGCAGAAGATCATTCTTCGCTCCCTCAAACCTCAACTCCTCGATCCTTCTCTTCGGTCCTCATCCTCTTTGCCGCCACCCCCCGCGGCGTCGCCGACGGTGCCGAATGCCCCTCCCGGTGATCTTGGACGACCAGTGCAGGATTGATGCGGGAAACAACGCCGACGACGACGACGGTAGCGGCGGCCTCACTCGGCACGCGACTGACAAATCCGAGTGGGTCGGTGCAGCTGGCGATTGTTGAAGTGAGAAATTTCGCGAATCTCTTCGCAACGGATGCATTGGAAGGTGTCCTGGGCAGCTGGCTTCGATTGTGTCTTCCACCGACTGGCACGCGACTTGCAGGCCGTCTTGGATTGCTGAACATGCGATGTGGAGAATGACACTGCAAGCAGAGTTTCGCCACAACCAGAGCGAGCGACAACGGACATGAGATAAGTGGCGCAGGCGGATGTTGAAAACATATAAGCCTAGCTCAGATCATAATGTGTTTATGTATCGTTGTTTTGTTGTTTCTTCCCCCCTCCCCCTGGGCTGACTCTCAGGTTGATGTCTACAAGCAGGGGTGCGAGCTGACTCGTGTCAACATCCGCAATCACGGGCTGACGCGGGAGAAGGTGGGCACGGCCGGTGAGCAGATCGATATGACTCGCGTTCGCGCTGCGGCGGACCCGCTGTGCTGCATGGCGATCGTGCAGCGCGACTTGAATTTCGGCCCTGGTGATGCGCTCAGCTTACATCGGCCGCAACCTGTTCGTGTTTCTGATCCTCGTAACTATCGTGCGTTTGCTGCTCGATGGCCGCCTGGAAGTGGCGTCGGAGGCCCCGACGCACTGCGCGACGCATGCGAATTCTATGAGCTGTTTGGACAGGTTTTTTGTGCTCGGTGCTAGGATGGATGCTATGCCAAGTCCACGCAGAATCTACGACTGCGGGTGAACCTGAGCGTTGTCCCGCGCATTCATCCCCGACCATGCGGCAATGATCGGTATGATTCGTCAGCGAGTTGGGAAACCTCGAGGCGAGCAGCCCATCCCGAGGCACTGCTTCACGGACCCGCTCTTCAAGAAGCGGATCGAAAAGATAGTCTTGGACGGCAAGGTTGCGGCTTGAAGGCGTGCTGGCGTGATCTACCGGGAGCGCTACAAAAATATTGTCAAGGGAGCGGCTCGTGAAATTCGGGGTCGACTATCTATTCGTCGCCCCGCAGGAGACGAGACGGCATCGCTGGCGGCGAGGAGTTGTGCTCGGGCTGTCTGGCGTCAGGATGTAGTGAAGTCTACGATCGACGTATCTTTCTGCTGCAGATCTTCTCGCGCCCGATGGAGAGAGCGTTCTTCTTCCACGTGCTGAATCCTTTCACTCCTGGACCGATGGGGTCCACGTGCGATTCCTGGACAAGA